ATATGAAGAAGGAAAACCACATGCCTTTCTGACCTTCAAAGTTGAAAAGAATCTTTCTAAAACCACCATCTTACATCTCCTTTTTAAAAGGAGTCTATTAGGGCCCGGCGCGATAGGGTAGTGGTTAAAGTCCTCACCTTGAACGTACCAGGATTCCATATGGGCTCCAGTTCTAATCCCGGCAGCTCCACTTCCCATGCAGCTCCCTGTTTGTGGCCTGGGAAAGCAGTTGAGGATGGCCCAAAGCCTTGGGACCCTGCACCTGCGTGGGAGACCTGGAAGAAGCTCCTGACTCCTGGTTTCAGATCTGCTCAGCTCCAGCTGTTGCTGCGGAGGATCTTCCTCTCTCTCCTCTGTATATCTGATGTTCCAATACAAATAAATAGATCTTAAAAAAAAAAAGGAATCTATTTTTCCCAAGCTGTACCACTCAAAATAAAAAAACAAACCAACAAGAACTACTACCATTGAAACAGCATTTTCTTCGGACATTTTGTTCTTCCCCTCTTGGTGGAGCAGGCCAGGAACCCAGAGCAAGGTTTACAAAATGCTTTCTTTGGAGAGAAATGCTCTGAAAATTCCAGAGACAATTCACAAATACTTGTGGAATACAATGTTTTTTTAAGTGAATGTTGTTAAAATTTATGAAGTTAATACTCAAAATAAAAATACACCTTTCAACAGGAGTTCACAAGGACAGAGGGGCTATTCAACCCCTTGCCTCCACCTCTTCCCTGCTAGAACACCAAAGGGAAATGCAGTTCTATTAAAAAAAGGGAAGCCCAAACAAATCAAGCAAACAAATAAAACACACACACACACACACACACACACACACCAGATTGTCACTAAGATAATTCCAAGATAGAGGAAGAAGGAATAAAAGCGAGGTATCATATATATGACTGTGAACTTCAATCTAATAATAAATAGTAACAATTTCTATTAAAACTTCAGTCCATTCCCATCCCATTAAGCTTCATGTGAAAATCAGAGCTGTCCATTGCAGAAAATTTAAAAGCAATATTGGTAATGAACTCTCTCTTGCATATTGCGTTTTAATTTTTCTAAAAGTAAAATGAAAGCTTACCTGGAATTCAAAAACCAATACAAAATCTTCTATAGGAAAATTAATGAGAAATTTAATTTGTTATTAGATTATTTTTAAATCTAAGAACAAAAGTATTTAGAGGCATTTTCCATAAACTTCTCATTAGTGCCTTTCAGGAACTCTTTGATAAGAAACATCCCTGCATCATAAAGTTTGAGGGCTTACAATTTTTAAAAATATGAACTCATCAAGTTTTTATACAAAAAAATTACCAATTTTCCCTCTGTAATCTTGCTAATAACTGTGATTATGTCTTACTTTAAGCATGTTAGGGTATAAGTTGAATCTATCCTTTGTTAAATGTTATTTTAAAAGCAGAGAAACCCAAGTAGCCCAATATATTAGGTGTTTTTTTTTTTTTTTGTACTTTTGGAGGTATTTCTAACTATAACAGGCTTTTAAAATTGCGTACTAATAAAGATTTTATCCAAAAATACGCAAAAGTATAATTAGTCAAACAAGACACATAGAGATGAGTAAAATAAAGTTTACAAGCAGACTTGCAAAAGGTGCAAAGGGGTCAGTTCAGAAAGACTGGCAAAAAATACTTGCATTTAGAGGAAAAAATCGCCCAGAATCATCATGTTGCCAAGTTGAATTAAATCATTCATCATTAGAAAAATCTCCCAATTTTACCATGATTATTGATTCACAAGATGATGCTCTATCTTCAGGTAGTTACCGTGGTGGGGTTGCGGGCCTAAGGCAGCGCTCCTTCAAGGTTTGGTCAACTGATGGGCCAGAATCAGGGACTCTAAACTGTGCTCATCTCCTGTACAAAGCATTGCTTTCCAAATGGGGACTGGGCAGTGCCCTGTGCTTACTGAAAGCAGGGCACAGTGTCCGACTTGTCGATAAAATGCTAGTTTTCACTCACCAACTGCCTTCTTCTTCTCCACCCTTACACAGGATTTTGCATGGTTATTTTAAAGGGGCATGCCACATGAGATACTTCTCTGGTTTTTTTTTTTTTTTTCTAAACTGGCTTTAGCCCAAACACAAGCATTGCTCATGCCACCTGAAGTAAGCATGACACCCTCTGGTAGGCACTATGTCTACCCAAACATGCTAAGTTCCTTTTCAATAAATTATTAAAGTCATAATAAACCTATGTCTTGGAAAGAATTCTAGATACTAAGAAAACAATCTTTAAAGAAATTTTCTAAACATGAACCAAAATAAGGATGCCTTAAAAGATTGAGAAGTAAATACAGATGAAGAAAATTTAAAGTTCTTGTGTGATACCCTTAGGTGATAGGTTAAATGACTAGACTGGTTTGGTGTGAAAATTAGAGTGTTAAAACAGAATCAGGCTATACATCTCTTTCAATATTTGAACAAACAAGCACTGAAAGAGGCTTTTATTGTTCTTCTGGATCAAACAGTTATTTAGAATTAAAGTATCTAAATATTTCTGTGGCCAGAACATAATTTAAAAAAATAAACAGTCCCTAAAACATGACCATAACGAGATTGGCTTTTTGTGCGTGTTTATGCCAATTTCAACCTATCGTCTTCCATTTACACATGAGACAGCTCAATTTTAAGGAACTTGTTGGGAATAATGTGTGTTCACAGTGTTCAAATACTTCAGCCTATTCACAACCTACCAAAGTAGTTTGAAAGAAAAAATACCTTTTCATCATTAAAAAGAGAGAGAGAGAGAGAGAGAGATCATTTCTGTTTTCTTTTTCGGTCTAAATTTTATTACCCTGCTTGGATATGCTGCACTCTTCTGGGCATAGAATTTCATAGCACGAATCAAAATAACCAAGCCATAAAGCCGACTTTATCAAACCATAATTCCCCACAGATAAGAACTTCAACTGTATGCTTGACATACTTTACACAAAACAAACATCCAACAAATAATGATGGCACAAGTTAATCCTTAAATGCAAGCTGGAATCAGGGTTTGTGATTCTGTTGTCTATTTTCTCACCTAGCCTAACACCTGGAAATAACTGTGGTGTGGGCAGCGGCAGGTGCCAGCGGCTTCCTTTGTGTGAATGCAAGTGGTAGCTGACCTGGACTCAGGGCTCCAGAGAAGGGTGGGTGTAAAGTCAGGATGCACTAAGCAGCTTCTAGAAACGGGAAGTCAGTCAACTTTTTCCTCGCTGGAGCAACGGAGAAATCCAGAACGCGTTCTGGAAAACAACGCAGCGCTGTTTCCTGGGGGGGCAGGGGCAGTGGCGAGGGGATCCTGGTGGCAGCCTGGTGCAAGGGGGGCGGCCTCGGGGCACCAGGGCTTCCTCTGCCGAACCCGCAGGGGCTAGGGTGTTCTGAGCGATGTCACTAGGGGTGGAGCCAGCGTTTCCATGACATTCCCCAGATATCAAACCCTGTAAGGCTGTCTGGAAAACAATCTCTATTGGACCGAGTCCTTCCTTCGCTGGAAGTAGTCGGATCCAAGACTTAATTTCAACAAAGTGCTCAATTTATTGCTTGAAGCTCTGGCAGCCTAAAATTGTCTTCTTTGAATGGAAAATTTGACCAACTGCAATGAGGTAAATGAATTTTGAAAGCCGGGGGATGGGGAGATTGGCGGGGAGGCACACACAACTTTATTTTCCTTTCCTTTTTTTTTTTTTGGAAGGGGGAGAGGGTGTGTGTTTGAAGAGTCCTAAGCAACCGCAGAACCTTGGTGTCTCAGGACGCAAAAAGCATGTTAGACTAGAGGGCCCTCGAGGCGGTCACCTCGGAACGCGGGGATTTGGGCTTCCGCAGCTCCCGGGCGCCGGGGAATCCCTGTCTCGGTAACCGGAGGAGAGACGCGCCTCAGAGCCACCGGGGCCGGGCTTTCCTCGGCTTTCGCGGACCCTTCGGGGCAGGCTCCGGCCGCGGGCGCGTGTCAGAGCGGGCTGACCAGGGAGTTGAGCGCCCGCCCAGCGCTCCTCGTGCCTCGGCCGCCCCGGGGTCCCGCCTGCCGGGCCTTGGGGAGTGGGGGAGCCCCGTGACGGGGCCGGCTCCGCCCGCCGCACGCCTCGGGGACCCCGCGCCCTCCCCGCCCCCGACCCCGGGCCCCGTCAGGGCCCCTCGCCCGGCTGCGCTTCCCGTAAACTCCCCGCCCGCGCCGTCCCCTCCCAGCCTCGGCCCCGCCCCCGCGGGGCCCTGGGCGGCGCCAGATTGGCCGGGCCGAGCTGTCACTCTCCGGCCGCGTCACCGCCCTCGTTTCCGACCGCCCCGAGACCGGCAGTAGCTTTTAGTGCTGGCGGGGCCGCGGCGGAGGGCATCGTGCCGCCCTGCTCGCTCCTGCTCGCCCACCTGAGCCGCGGCGGAGGGGCTGCGCGCCCACAGGGCTGCCGGTGTCCTCGGCTGCGGGATGGGGAGCGGCCGAAGTTGACGCGCCCTCCTTCCCCCCTGAACCCGCGCCGCGTCTCTGCTCTCCCGGGAGCGCTGCCCCGCTTCCCGGAGCTGTCGGCACGCGCTGCCCGGCCCCAGGTGTGCGCCGAGCGCCCCGCCCCTCGTCGGGACCCGCAAACTTCACCCCGAGTCCGAGGCGTGGGGCTGCGAGGGCGGTGCCCGGAGCTGGACTCCGGATTCCGTGCGCAGGGAGAGCTGTCCTGTTGCTGGCCCGGCCGGGGGAGGGCGGAGACCCGCGGGAAACTTTGTCACCGTGCTCATTCCGTGTTCCTGTCTCGTCTTTCCGCAGGGGCTGCAGCCGGCGGTCTGTCGCGTCTGCCTGTTTGCTAAAGGAGCCGCCCCCGGGAGAAGACCTGGCGGGGAGCGCTGTCCCCGGGGGGATCCCGCAGCCCGGCCGCACGGCTTGGATGGCCTGGATGCGCTCGAGCCAGCCCCGCAGCCGCTGACGCCCGGCGGCGGCGAAGTTTGGCTGCTGAGCGGTGCGGCGCCGGACCCCTGGACAGACGGCCAGCCGGCGGCCGCGGCGATGCCCTTGGGGGGGCTCCTGCCGCTCTTCGGCAGCCCCGCGGGCGGCGGCCTGGGCGGGGGGCTCGGCGGCGGCGGCGGCAGGAAGGGGTCTGGTCCCGCCGCCTTCCGCCTGACGGAGAAGTTCGTGCTGCTGCTGGTGTTCAGCGCCTTCATCACGCTCTGCTTCGGGGCGATCTTCTTCCTGCCCGACTCTTCCAAGCTGCTCAGCGGGGTCCTGTTCCACTCCAGCCCCGCTTTGCAGCCGGCTGCGGACCACAAGCCCGGGCCCGGGGTGCGCGCCGAGGACGCGGCCGAAGGGCGAGCCCGGCACCGGGAGGAAGGCGCGCCTGAGGACCCGGCGGTGGACCTGGAGGACCACCTGGCCAGGATCCGCGAGAACCACGAGCGGGCCCTGAGGGAGGCCAAGGAGACGCTGCAGAAACTGCCCGAGGAGATCCAGAGAGATATCCTGCGCGAGAAGGAGAAGGTGGCTCAGGACCAGCTGCGGGACCGCGCGCCGTTCCGGAGGCTGCCTCCGGTGGACTTCACGCAGCCCATCGGGGTGGAGAACCGGGAGCCCGCCGACGCTTTGGTCCGCGAGAAGAGGGCCAAGATCAAAGAGGTGAGTGCCCCGGGCCAGAAACGCGTGCCGGAGGCCCCGTCGTCTGGGAAAATGGGTCCACCCTTGCAACTCCAGATTGCTTGTGTGAGTGCAGGGGGGACCCAGAGGTTTTCCCTTCCCATCAGGAGCCAGGTCAGAAGCTTCTTCTATGCTCCGTTTTCAGTGTCACACCAGACACGACCCGTTTTAAAATCTGAGGTCAAACCCCCTTGCTTTGAACTTGCATGCTCAGAAGAGCATCAGCCAGACCAGGTGGATACTAGACAGGTGATGACAGGCTGCAGAGCAGAACTGAACAACCTCTTCCACTCCGCTCTCCCCCTCCCGCCCCCATCCAGCTGGGACATGGCTTTAATAGAAACGCAGAGTCTCAATCATGCCTGATGAAACGGTTCCAGCAGAAGCCAGCCCAGCCGGTGTGAAGTCAGGTGGCCCGTTCTGCCAGGTGGCACTCTTGTGTACATACAGGCTATAAAGGTGAAACTTGAGAACTCCTCATCACAGGAAGGATATTACTATTTGCTTGGCGGGGGGAGGCGGCGAGGGGGCGTTTTAAAAGCCAGTGTGCTGCCTCTTGCATTTCTGGTGTACTGTCAGAGATCTGGAATTAGGTGTGATGCAACAGGTTTGCCTGCTCAGCAACCCATGGTGACCAAGTTAATCTAGCACAAACATGGACTTTGGCAAGTGTTGCATAATTTCTTTCTGGCAATTTTTGCTTAGGACTTGTAACAAGCTTAGTTCGTGGACAGCTTAAAACTCAAGGAGATCTCAAAACCCCTCAAAGCCTCCTGTTTAAATGAGGAGAGTTGAAGGACTCGGTCAGTGACCGAGTCAGGACTGAGGGGAAGCCCAGACTTGTGGCCAGGCACCTGTTACCAGGCTCTCTGTCAACGAGCCTCCCTCCAGGACTGCTCCCCGCCATGAAACTGTGCCAGCTGTGTGTCACACAAGAGTCCAAAGGGGCAGGAGCTGAATCAAAAACATGCCACGCCAAACTCCGTTCAGTTCTGTAAAATACATTATGCTTGGAAGTGGTACTTTGGCATTTTGAAAAGTGGTAGTCTGTGAACGTTCATTAATTTTTGACTTTTGTGCTCTCCTACTGGGTGATACTCAGGAAAGGAAGCCTCCTGATTACCTGTTCAGAAAGTATGCAGAATGGCGAAGTGGTGGGGACGGTGTTTTGCTTGAGTGGCTGCAAAAGCAGGCGGTCTGTTGCTGCCGGATATGAGACCTTAAGAACAGATGAGTTTGGCGAAGCTGTAACTGGACCAGTAAGAGTGCACTTGAGTCCTTCACCTGTCTTCTAGGAAGGATGCCTTTCTGTTCCCCGTGCGTGTAGCTCGCTTCTCCAGTCTTCCTCTCTTTTGGCTGTGCTCTGGCCTCTCAGGTTTAGCAAACCTCCCAGACTGGGATGAGTGCTGCTCTTCCCTCTTCATGAAATCCCATCAGTGACATCCAACCAGGGAAGAGGATCAAGGCTGTCCTGACCGAGCCTTCTCAACACTGTCCTACTGAAACAACAGGCAATCTGTATCTGCATGTGCTAACGTTAAATATAGAGTTTAATTTATGCATTTCTTGCATCTGAATTCATATGAGTTGCCAGGTAGAGTGCATCACAGTGTCCCCAGGAAAGATTTTCAGTTCTGTAGATGTTCAAAAGCTGGTAGCACTGACCAGTTGTAACAGTGCGTTTGGAACAGAAGCACTGCAGGAGGAGCCCTCCGTTGAGAAGGCATGTTAACTGTGCCTAGCCATCTTGAAGTCATAAGTTCTTAATTAGCCATGCACAAGAAGCGGCTGTGGCTTCTGTATAAATAGGAAACTAACATTTTAGCACCTAGATGTTTTGAAACTGCCCAGTTTTGCATAAAGTGGTGACACTAAATGTGTTCTTTAAAATTCCATGTTGCCTTGAGAACCCAAAAGAGCCAACATAATTACCTTCCGTATTTAGTCCCTGGATAACGGAAAGAAATGGATTATGATTTTCCATTAGATTAGTTCAGGCAGGTGTCTGCCTTTCTAAATTAAAGAGTAACACATGCTTTTCTAAAACCATGCTGTTAGAAAGAGTGGCTGCCCACAGTGAATGGGGTACTGGACTTGATACGTTTACAATCAGTTTGGGGAAGTGCTGTGTACTTCTTGTTGTAGACCAAGGAATTTTTTTTTTTTGCTTTAATTTTGTTCTTTATCTGTGTTTTTTAAATTCTCTTTATACTTAGGTTATGTAGTATACCTCAAAGCAGTAATGTCTCTGTTAAAATAGAGAAGGCAAAAGTAGGTGTAACATGTTGGACACTTAGACTGTAATTTAAGACAAACCTTGCTTCAATGAATTTGGTTCCTTTTTTTAAAAAAAATAATACGAACACAATTGCATTATTGCACTTCAGAAGGTTTTTATCGTATTTGTATCTTTAAAGGAGAGGCAGAGAAGTTGCTTTTAATACCTTTATAAAAAAAGTTTTGAGTGATTTCCATACTAATATGTTGGATGGTGAACATTTGATGTAAAAATTCAAGTTAAAAATAAAGATATTGTTTCCTTTGTCCCTCTGAAAACTTTGTAAATGAACGAATTCTGGAATGTTCCTGAAACTAATGGTATGAACATACAGAGTCCACATTTATTTTCATGACTTTGGTCTTATGTTTGTGTTCTGGTGTGCTTAGATTTTAATAGCAGTATTGGAATGACAAAGCACACAAGTTCAGTAGCATGATGGAACTTCTAGGAAAATAATGCATTTCTTCTACTCCACCTTTTTAAAAAAAATTCGGAAGTTGGGTTTTTCGGTTTTTTTTTTTTTTTTTTTGGTCTGTACTATGAGTTTACACCATCATTTCAGACAAGGTTTATCGTTCAGTTTGGGGGAATGGGCAGTTTATTGTTCCATTTCTTGGGTAAAGGGAGTTGAATATGAGACCTCAGAGAGGTTTCCTTCTGTCTGAGACTGTAGTCTGCATCAACCTCACTCACTCAAGAGTGCTTAGGCTTTGGGACTGTAGTGTAAGACACTGGGGCCCGTCAGTAAAGGGGTCACAAATGTCTTTTTCTCCAAACAAGGCATTATTAGTCTTTTATTCTAGGCCTTCTACAACCATCAATAAATGTTGATATTGGTAGCTAGTAATTAAAATAGATTTTTATTATCTTTTAGTTTGGCCTTCTACATACAGCCTTGAACATAATATATAATTATTGGCAGCTGATTATTGGCAGTTAACTCTTTTTTTCATGAAGATCAGATTTGGGAATGATTTACTTTGATTTAAAACTAAGGAAATTTTCAAACTTATTTTTTCAGTTTATTTCTATGAGAAGTTCTGATATGGAAAACAGTGCTTACAAAACAACAAAAGCCACAGTTTGAAAAGCTGACCCAAGGAGCTTGGGTCGCTTGCCTGTTCCACAGCCCCCAGCTCCGTGATATACCATGTCCTTGAACATGGGCCAACCAGCGAGCATTCCTCTAAGAGCAGGGAGAGGGCATGCAGAGTTTGTAAAGGCTTCTCATTAACAAGAAGACCTGTAAATTAAGGTTTAGAGTAGAAGCTGATTAATTTAACATTAATATGCAAAAGCAAGAGAAGATTGTTAATGGATAGTTAATTATATTTAGGCTAATCTCTGCAGTTACTGATAAATTCTCTGAGGAGAATAGTCTGTCTTTTGGAATTCTGGAATTCATATGGTTAAGGCTCAAAAAAATGGTCAGAAAAATAGATTTTCTGATCGATGCATCGTTATTTCTTAGGTGAACTGTTAAACTGATACATCCTGAGAAACTGAACCTAGTATTTGACCACCATTAAAAAAGGGGGGCTGTTATGTGAGATCTAACTTTGTTGAAATGCATTGGAGAATTTACATATTTGAGTCAGATTGTTGCCTGAGCTGTGGTAGTACAAATTCTTTATGTAAGAGTTGTAGGATATATCTTAAGGACAAAAGGAAGAATACATGCAGATCTGTGTCAGCGAGGAGGGATAAGTACAGAGCGAGATCCGCAATGGATCCACAATGCCCTGGGATTGCTATTATTCCCCAGCTCAGAAAAGCACCTGTCATCTTTTCATTTATGATCCACAGAGTCATCATCCTTGTGTGTGTTGGAAGAATGTGATTTTCGATTGGTGAAAATAAGAACAGCAACTTCTATCTTGATAGCATAAAATGTTCTGTCAGTTGTTTTTTCTCTAAGTAAGTGAAATGATAAACGAGAAACTGGTGTTTAAGTAATTTAAGGAAGAGAGATTCTGGGCCCGACGCTGTAGTCTAGCAGCTAAAATCCTCACTTTGAACATACTGGGATCCCATATGGGCGCCAGTTCTAAACCTGGCAGCCCCGCTTCCCATCCAGCTCCCTGCTTGTGGCCTGGGGAAGCAGTCGAGGATGGCCCAAAGCCTTGAGACCCTGCACCTGTGTGGGAGACCCAGCCAAAGCTCCAGGCTCCTGACTTTGGGTTGGTGCAGCTGTGGCCATTTGGCTTCTTAGGGAGTGAATCAGTGGATAGAAGGTTTTCTTCGTTGTTTCTCCTCCTCTCTGTATAGCTGACTTTCCAATAAGAATAAGTTAAAATCTTTTTTAAAAAATCAGAGGTTTAAAGTTATGGCATATTGAGCTGAAAATTACATCACCAGTTAGTGACAGGATTGAGAGTGAAAGTTCCCATCTTCAGTGAGTTCTGCTGACTGTTCCCCGCGTGGCAGTCTGTCTCCTGAATAAGACTTCTAAGTGTGTTCATGGACTGCATTCATTGCAGACCCTGATGTACAGTGAGTTCGAAACAGAGCCAGGACAGTTCTGATCCCGTATTAGTGTTTGTGAACTGTAATAGTTTTTAAGCAATTGCAGCTGGTGGCGTGATGTTTTTAAAGCTTCCAGAGAAAGTTTAATATAACTTCCCCTCTATGCTTATAATGCTGTCTGTGTGAAATGGAGGCATTTGTTATTCTTCATACATTGGTATAAAAAGAAGTGAGG